TTCTCTATTGCAATACTTACTAGTTTATTGCCGAATACTTTAAAATTTTCTGTTATGAAAGCATCAAAATATTGAATCGAATTGCTTTTTCTGATTCCCCATCACATGTTGCAATAATTACTGAATTCATTTTTCTCTATTTCAATCTTTACTATTTTATTACCAAATATTTAAAATTTTTCTATTATCAAAGCATCAATATAATGAATCGATTTGCTTTTTCTGATTATCCATCATATGCTGCAATAATTACTGAATTCATTTTTCTCTATTGCAATACTCACTAGTTTATTGCCGAATACTTTAAAATTTTCTGGTATGAAAGCATCAAAATATTGAATCGATTTGCTTTTCCTGATTCTATATCACATGTTGCAATAATTACTGAATTCATATTTCTCTATTGCAATACTTACTAGATTATTGCTTAATTTTTAAAAAATTTTCTATTATCAAAGCATCAAAATAATGAATCGATTTGCTTTTTCTGATTCTCCATCACATGTTGCAATAATTACTAAATTCATTTTTCTCTATTGCAATACTTACTAGTTTATTGCCGAATACTTTAAAATTTTCTGTTATGAAAGCATCAAAATATTGAATCGATTTGCTTTTTCTGATTCTCCGTCACATGTTGCAATAATTACTGAATTCGTTTTTCTCTATTGCAATACTTACTAGTTTATTGCCGAATACTTTAAAATTTTCTGTTATGAAAGAATCAAAATATTGAATCGATTTGCTTTTTCTGATTCTATATCACGTTGCAATAATTACTGAATTCATTTTCCTCTATTGCAATACTTACTAGTTTATTGCCGAATACATTACAATTTTCAGAAAGCATCAAAATATTGAATCGATTTGCTTTTTCTTATTCTCCGTCACATGTTGCAATAATTACTGAATTCATTTTTTCTCTATTGCAATACTTACTAGTTAATTGCCGAATACTTTAAAATTTTCTGTAATGAAAGCATCAAAATATTGAATCGATTTGCTTTTTCTGATTCTTCGTCACATGTTGCAATAATTACTGAATTAATTTTTTCTATTGCAATACTTACTAGATTATTGCTTAATTTTTTTTAAATTTTCTATTATCAAAGCATCAAAATAGTGAATCGATTTGCTTTTTCTGATTCTCCATCACATGTTGCAATAATTACTGAATTCATTTTTCTCTATTGCAATACTTACTAGTTTATTGCCGAATACTTTAAAATTTTCCGTTATCAAAGCATCAACATATTTAATCGCTTTGCTTTTTCTGTTTCTCCATCATATGTTGCAATAATTACTGAATTCATTTTTCTCTATTTCAATATTTACTAGTTTATTACCAAATATTTAAAATTTTTCTGTTATCAAAGCATCTAAATATTGAGTCGATTTACTTTTTCTGATTCTCCATCATATGCTGCAATAATTACTGAATTCATTTTTCTCTATTGCAATACTTACTAGTTTATTGCCGAATATTTTAAAATTTTCCGTTATCAAAGCATCAAAATATTGAATCGATTTGCTTTTTCTGATTCTCCGTCACATGTTGCAATAATTTCTGAATTCATTTTTCTCTATTGCAATACTTACTGGTTTATTGCCGAATATTTTAAAACTTTTTGTTATCAAAGCATCAAAATATTGAATCGATTTGCTTTTTCTGATTCTATATAATATGTTGCAATAATTACTGAATTCATTTTTCTCTATTTCAATACTTGCTAGTTTATTGCCGAATATGTTATAATTTTCCGTTATCAAAGCATCAACATATTGAATCGATTTGCTTTTTCTGATTCTCCGTCACATGTTGCAATAATTACTGAATTCATTTTTATTCTATTGCAATACTTATTAGTTTATTGCCGAATATTTTAAAATTTTCTGTTATCAAAGCATCAAAATATTGAATCGATTTGCTTTTTCTGTTTCTCCATCACATGTTGCAATAATTACTGTATTCATTTTTCTCTATTGCAATGCTTACTACTTTATTGCTGAACAATAAAAAATTTTTTTGTAATGAAAGCATCAAAATATTAAATCGTTTTGCTTTTTCTGATTCTATATCACATGTTGCAATAATTACTGTATTCATTTTTCTATGTTGCAATACTTACTAGTTTTTTGCCTAATATTTTAAAATTTATTGTTATGAAAGCATCAAAATATTTAATCGATTTGCTTTTTCTGATTCTCCGTCACATGTTGCAATAATTTCTGAATTCATTTTCCTCTATTGCAATCCTTACTAGTTTATTGCCAATATTTTAAAACTTTTTGTTATCAAAGCATCAACATATTGAATCGATTTGCTTTTTCTGATTCTCCGTCACATGTTGCAATTGCACATGTTGCCGAATATTTTAAAACTTTTTGTTATCAAAGCATCAAAATATTGAATCGATTTGCTTTTTCTGATTCTATATCACATAATGCAATAATTACTGAATTCATTTTCCTCTATTGCAATACTTACTAGTTTATTGCCGAATATTTTATAATTTTCCGTTATCAAAGCATCAACATATTGAATCGATTTGCTTTTTCTGATTCTCCGTCACAAGTATTTTGTTATCAAAGCATCAAAATATTTCAATACTTGCTAGTTTATTGCCGAATATGTATAATTTTCCGTTATCAAAGCATCATCATATTGAATCGATTTGCTTTTTCTGATTCTCCGTCACATGTTGCAATAATTACTGAATTCATTTTTCTTTATTGCAATACTTACTAGTTTATTGCCGAATACTTTAAAATTTTCTGTTATCAAAGCATCAAAATATTGAATCGATTTGCTTTTTCTGATTCTATATCACATAATGCAATAATTACTGAATTCATTTTCCTCTATTGCAATACTTACTAGTTTATTGCCGAATATTATAAAATTTTCTAATATGAAAGCATCAAAATATTGAATCGATTTGCTTTTTCTGATTCTCCATCACATGTTGCAATAATTACTGAATTCATTTTTCTCTTTTGCAATACCTACTAGTTTATTGACGAATATATTAAAGTTTTCTGTCATCAAAGCATCAAAATATTGAATCGATTTGCTTTTTCTGTTTCTCCATCACATGTTGCAATAATTACCGAATTCATTTTTCTCTATTGCAATACTTACTACTTTATTGCTGAACAATTAAAAATTTTCTGTTATGAAACCATGAAAATACTAAATCGTTTTGCTTATTTTGATTCTCCATCATATGTTGCAACAAATACTGAATTCATTTTTCTCTATTGCAATACTTACTAGTTTATTGCCGAATATTTTAAAATTTGCTGTTATCTAAGCATCAAAATATTGAATCGCTTTGCTTTTTCTGATTCTCCATCACATGTTGCAATAATTACTGAATTCATTTTTCTCTATTGCAATACTTACTAGTTTATTGCCGAATCCCTTAAAATTTTCTGTTATGAAAGCATCAAAATATTGAATCGATTTGTTTTTTCTGATTCTCCGTCACATGTTGCAATAAATACTGAATTCATTTTTCTCTATTGCAATACTTACTAGATTATTGCTTAATTTTTTAAAAATTTTCTATTATCAAAGCATCAAAATAATGAATCGATTTGCTTTTTCTGATTCTCCATCACATGTTGCAATAATTACTAAATTCATTTTTCTCTATTGCAATACTTACTAGTTTATTGCCGAATACTTTAAAATTTTCTGTTATGAAAGCATCAAAATATTGAATCGATTTGTTTTTTCTGATTCTCCGTCACATGTTGCAATAATTACTGAATTCATTTTTCTCTATTGCAATACTTACTAGTTTATTGCCGAATACTTTAAAATTTTCTGTTATGAAAGCATCAAAATATTGAATCGATTTGCTTTTTCTGATTCTATATCACATGTTGTAATAATTACTGTAAAGTTAGAATTTTCCAGCCGGGGTCAGAGCTTCAGTCTGCCCAGGGCCACAACTTACAAGACATTTGTAAATTACTACGGGACTACGAGTTAGAGAAACGGGAGAGGATGGGGGAGTTATTACGTATTAAATGGCCACTCAGCCCGAACTCGCCGACCACGCCCCCACACGTTTGCACGTGGGATGGCTGCAGCGATCGAGTGGCGCGGCTAAACGCACTCCAGATTGCTGGGGTCGGGGCTACAAAGGCTATTGCGGGATGTTAGTGGGGCTATTCTACTACAAATGGTGGACCGCGGATCGAGGAACGCCCAGCGTTGACGCCGGCGTTCACTCCAGACCACGCGGTTTTGTGTGCCAGAGTTTTGGCCGTCTGGCGCACAGGATTGCCCTCGTGCTAACCACCGGTTAGTAATGTTAAGATTATTGGTGGGTTATTATTACCAAATCAACTACGAATGAGAACACAATCATTTCTAAATACGTTAACATTTTATTCCATATTACCTCGTGTTTCCTACCCCTCGCCTATCCGTTTATTATTTTCTTTAACGCCGACCGTTCGCGTTGAGTGCTCAAAACCAATTAAAATCTGCGCGCAGCTTTCAAGCCTTTCCTTGCGCTCTGCAGATTTCACCACGCGACCAGCAATGCAATTCACCACCGCGAGCTTTCGAGCTGCATGGTTGCATTGCTGATCGCGTGCCCGCCCACTCATTTGAATTTTTGCTTACTATCTAAAGCTAACGACTATGATACCTTTATCTACTTACTTATCTAACAAAACAATCGATAATTCAAATATAAACTTAACGACTATAATCCAATTCATTTTTTTTCCATTCACTATCTTACATACTACGAAATATAACCTACTAACCAACTTACTTGCTACAAAATATGGCCTACTACCAACCTACTCACTACAAATATATCTTACTACTAACTTACTCACTACAAATATATCTTAATGCTAACTTACTCACTACAAATATATCTTAATGCTAACTTACTCACTACAAATTTCAGTAACCTCGACCGCTATAATGCCAAAAATGTAAGGTGGGCAAAAGGCCACCTTACACCCCCCCCTTACTTCGACGGAGCGACTGTTACGCCCCCCGATGAATTGATGGTCACTGTGTATGACCGTTCCCCCGCCGCAACTCGGAAACGGGTTCTCCTGTGCGGCCATCTACGTGTTTCCACCTCCCGCCTCAGGAGTTGGATTACCTCCTCGCTCAGCTCGACGCCAGCAGGGCGTATCCTCCAGTTGACGGGGATCAGCGGCAACATCCTCAACGCTTCCACGTCCTCTGCGTCCAGCGCGTCCTCAAGGCTCACCTCCCATCCGTCCAACAGCTCCGCCATGTCTGCCAATAGACGCCTCTCCTCCTCCGTCGACTCGTCTCGACGTTGGTCGCGTTTTCGGCCGCTCCCAACCTGGCTGCGCTCTCTGCGCTGCCGACGCGCGGATGGGCCCTCGGCGCCGTCCGTTAGATTTCTTCGACTGGCCGGGGCGCGGGTGTCCGGTTCGCGCGCGGGCACTGGTCGTCCTCTTCGTCGTCGCCGACGACGCTTGCGCCTGGACGCCTGGCCTTGATCTGTCGGGCGCTCTGCGCTGGACTGCGACGAGCATGACAGGCGCCGGTTTTCGACCGTGCCCGGCGTATATCGCAACGTGACCCTGGCGGCTGGTTCCGGCGGCTGGTCCCTCTCAACGTCGTCGTCAGTTCGGCGTTGGGGAACAGGATCTGTGGCGGTGTCCTCCTCGGGATTCGCATCTTCCACTCGGACGCTCAGCTGCTCTGCTTCCGCTCCGTCCCGCGCCGCGGTCTCCGGGATGGGGTCCTCGACGGAGGGACAATGCTCCCTGCCGCCTTCCCACCCCCGTGACGGGGATCCATCATCTAGCCTTCGAGGAATGGGGCTTGCAACGCCGCCTTCCTCGGGACTCGCCTCCTCGGCCTCGAACTCTTCGCCGAAACTTATGGACACCTCACTGTGCCCTTCCTCCACTTCGTCCCGCGCCGCGGTCTCCGGGGTGGGGTCCTCGACGGAGGGACAATGCTCCCTGCCGCCTTCCCACCCCCGTGACGGGGATCTGCTGTCCATTTCTGGTGGAAACTCCTCATCTTCGCTCGCCGTCCACGGCGTCGGCGTCGCCCACCTTGACGGGGCTCCATCCTCTGTACATCTCCGCGCGCCGGACTTCGGGCTGCCCGGTGGGCGGGGCGGAGATGGCGGCTCCTCCACGAGTGGTGGCGTGGTGCCCCCCCTAGGCACCTGGATATACACCGTCGTGTATCTGGCCTGCACCAGTTGGATAAGGCCGTCCATCCTGGTCGCCACGTTCACCGTCGAGCGGAGGACCGTATGTACACGCCGGGGCGGCGCCCGCTCCTCTTGGCGACGGTAGTATTCCCTACCGAGCCTCGGGTCCCTCGGCCTCGGCCGACTCCGCGCCTCTCCTCTGGAGAACGGCTCCGTGCTGTCGCTGCTTGCGTCTTCGACTCGGACTGAGCCTTCGTCGTCGCTACTTATCTCGATGACGTCCTCCATACTGTTACTTCCCTGTAAGTTCAGATTCTTTAGTCTTCTGTTTTTATTCGTGTTAATGACCGAAATGGCCCTCTAACTACTGCATTAGTGTTAGCGTTAATAAGGGGCTCTACGGGGAAGTTAGTAGTTGATGAGATGTGTAGATTTGTCAGGGCCTTTGGTTGTCTTCGTCGGGTACAGCGGGGCTCGTTCCTCGTCCCCCGTTTCCCCGGTCTCATTTTCCGGTATCGTGTCGCTTTCTTCGTCTTCTTGATGGAATGGCTTCAACTGCGCAATGTTGGCCACCCTTCTCTTACGTTCGCCCTCCTTCGCCAGGCGCACCACGTTGGGAGACAGGAACTTAACGACCTTGTAAGGGCCGTCGAATTTGGGCGCTAGTTTCGCCGCGAATCCGTCCGCCGCGTTCGACAATTGATGTTGTCGCAACAGCACCGCCGAACCCAACGTTGGTCTCCAGTCACGCCGTCTCAAGTTATAGTGCCTGCCTTGATCCTTTGATGCTCGCTGTAAGTTACTGCGCACTATGTCGAAAATCTCCTTCATTTTGACTCCTCTGGCCTCGGCTCGGGTCTCTGTGGTCGCCGAACCGGGAGTGACTTCGTCGTATAAAGCGGCGGGTAGGCGTGGCTCCCGCCCTAACATCAGGAATGCTGGAGTGAAGCCCGTGGAGTCGGCCACGCTCGAGTTGACTGCTAGCGTTATCTCCGGCAACAGCTCGTCCCATGAGCTCTGGTGGCCTTCGATGTACTGAGCTATCATAGTCTTCACCGTGCGATTTGTTCTCTCCGTCGGGTTCTCCTGCGGTGTATAAGGCGCTGTGTGCTGGAGTGTCACCCCCAAGGATTCCATAAACGCCTTGAAACTTCTGCTTGTGAATTGTACGCCGTTGTCGCAAACGAACGTCCTGGGCACTCCAAATCGGCTGATTATGCGTTCCCGGAACGCCAGTTGCAGCTGAGCGGTAGTCGCTTTCCTCAACGGCACCAGCTCCACCCATTTGGCAAAAGCGTCGTGGAACACCAACAACATTGTGTTCCCACGTTTGGAACGAGGTAAAGGTCCCACGAAGTCTGCGCACAAGACCGCCATTGGCTCCGCCACCTGTCTGGTGAGCATATGCCCGGCTGGCTTTTGTTGCACGCATTTAAATCTTTGGCACGTCTCGCAACACTTCACGTATTTGGCTGCATCTCTGAACATGCCCGGCCAATAGTACCTTTGCGCAAGTCGTGCCGCCGTCTTCCTCACTCCTTGATGTCCGGCCGTGGGAGCGTCGTGGCACTCCCTCATCACTCTGCCCCTCAAACTGCTCGGGACGCAGAGCTTCCATGGGATGAAATCTTCCTCGTCTATCCGATGGCCTATATTCCGATACAACTGCCCATTTTCTTCCACATAGTCCTGGAACTTCTCAGGCTCCTTTGCAATCCTTTCACGCATCCTTGCTATCCACCAGCAAGGAGGATTTTCTTCCACGGCCTGCTCGCAACTGTCCATGGGCTGCCGGGACAATGCGTCGGCCACTACGTTTAAGCTCCCTCGGCGATAACGTATGTCGAACTGATATTGCTGCAACTCTAGCGCCCAACGAGCGATCCGGCCCGTGGGACTTTCTATGGAGTTGAGCCATTTCAGCGCTAGATGATCCGTGACGACGTCGAATCTGTAACCCTCCAGGTAGCATCGCATCTTTCGGATCGCCCATACGATTGCGAGGCACTCCTTCTCCGTTGCCGAGCAGTTTAGCTCCGCCTTCAGTAACTTCCGGCTGGCGTATGCTATCACTCGCTCCTGCCCCTCGACTTCTTGCGTCAGCACTGCGCCGAGGCCGTAGTCGCTGGCGTCGGTCTGCAGCACAAATTTGGCCGAGAAGTCGGGACAGGCCAGAACAGGCGCGGTCGTTAAACTCTCCTTGAGTTTCTGCAACGCCTCTTCCTGCTCCTCACTCCAGATCCACTTCTGGCCCTTCTTTAACAGCTTCGTCATCGGTTGTACCAGTGACGCGAAGTTTGGTACAAAGCGTCGATACCATGATGCCATTCCTAGGCATTGCCGCAGCTCCTTGAGATTCGAAGGCGATGGGAGGCTCTGGATCGCCCTCGACCTTCGCGGGATCAGTGCAAATCCCCTCTCCGCTTATCACATGGCCAAGGTACGCCAACTTCTCCCGAAAGAAACTGCATTTCCTTCTGTTGAGTCTTAGATTGGCCGCTCGCAACCGCCGGAAAACTTCCTTCAGGTTGGCCACGTGTTGCTCCTTCGTCGCTCCGATGACTACTATATCGTCGAGATATGCAAACGCGTGAGGCTCCATGTCGGGTCCGATGACTGTGTCCAATGCCCTCTGGAATGTCGCTCCCGCCGAATGCAGACCGAATGGCATCACTCGCCATTGGAACAATCCTCTGCCTGGCACGGTAAACGCCGTGTACTCCCTGCTATCCGCCGCCATTGGGATCTGCCAGTAACCGCTCTTTAGATCCAGCGTAGATATAAATCGTGCGTGTCGTAGTTTCTCCAAAATGTGAAGAATCCGTGGAACAGGATACGCGTCCGGGACTGAGTTGGCGTTGAGCTGTCGATAATCTACGCACATGCGCCAATCCCCAGTCTTTTTCTTGACTAAGACTATGGGTGCGCTGTGTGGGCTCTTCGACGGTTCAATCGCTCCAGCTTGAAGCAGCTCGTCCACCTGTTCATTGATCACCTTTTGCATAGCCGGATTTTTGGGGTAGTACCTTTGCTTCAAAGGCTTGTCGTCCTTCATCCGGATGCTAGCTCAGCGATGTGCGTCACGCCCTCGAGGTCCTCGAACAATGCCAACTCTGCCTCGAGGAACTCCTGCAGTTCTTTCTCTAAATCATCCGGCCACTCCTTACTATTGGGCGCGGATCGTTCATATCCTCCGTACTCGCTCTCCGTTGCTTCTCTCGTCTCTAACTCATCCGGCCACTCCTTACTATTGGGCGCGGATCGTTTATATCCTCCGTATTCGCTCTCTGCTGCTTCTCCTGTCGGTGGGCCGCCCTCGGGCTCACCTTCCTTCTCTAATTCGACTGATTTGAACTCCGGCGACCACTCCTCGGGTCCGCTCCTCAAGTCCTCGCTCTGTTTTACAACTCTCGCGGGAGGCTCAGCTCCCCTTTTGTCTTCAATTAGCTCGTTTCTTTCCTTTCTGTCTCTCCTTGTCGCTGGGAGACGCCCTCTAAGTCTCTCCTTCGGCGTTCCCTTTTCCATTCCTTTCCTCTTGCCTCTGTTCTCGTCGGGCAGTGTGCCTTGGCTCGACGCTTGCTGGACGCCGATCGTTGACACTGCGATTGCCGACTTTGGGCCCTCTTTTGTCGTTGCGGCCTCGTGCGACGCCTCCGAGCCCAACTCCTTCACTCCTTCGGCGAACTGGCGTTGCTCTCCAAGACGCCTGTTGCCTTGCTCCACTCGCTGTCCATTTGGTGGCGATGCGCCATCTCCCACGTCGTCTATCATCCTCATCTCGAGCTCCGCGTTGCCGCAACGCACCGTAGTACCAATGGCGCACAGGAAGTCCATGCCGAGGATGACATGGTCTAGCATGGTCGGCATTATTAGCAAGTTTGCTTCCGCCGTTTTGCCTGCCAGGCTCACATCCGTCCTCACCATCTCCGTGACGTTTAGTGCTGATCCATCGGCCAACCTGATCCGCGACTCAACTTGGCAACGCTCGCCTCCTATCGTCCGTCGGCGCACGCAGTCCTCACTAACAAAACTGCGTGTAGCTCCAGTGTCGATCGTGGCAGTCATCCTTTGACCCCCGACCGTTACCGACGCGACGATCTTCCACTCCTTTACTCGGAGCGGGTTCCTCTCCTCATCTTCCGTTTTTAATTGGCGCCGCTCCGCTCTCTTGGAGGGCGCCCTTGGCGTTTCCCGAGCTGTCTCGTTCGCAGCACTCCCTCGCAGTCCGGCCTTGCTGCCCGCAACGCCAGCAGAACAACACTGGCGCGTTACGACATTCTCGCGCGAAGTGTCCAGGTTGTGCGCATCGATAACAAACTCGACTTGGCCTGGGTCCAGCATCCTGTGACATCATCCGGCTAGTTGCCTCCGCCGACTGCGTCGCCACCGGCGTCTCCGTCCGCCCTTCAACTTGTCCTCCAGATCGGGGAACAGATGTCTTTGCGCGGAAAGGATTATTCTGCCGCGCCTCCACTGGCTTGGGCCAACCGGTCTCCACCGTAGCCTTCCTTCCTTGTTCTCTCTGTTGACTCCTCACGTTCTCGAACTCCGCGGCCATCTGGGTCAGCTGCGTTAGAGACGAGAAATCGTGCCTCCGTACGTACAGTCTGTATTCCGGGGATGCGTTCTCGTAAGTCCTGTTCAACTCTTGGGCCGGGCTGTACCTAGCCTGTCGCATCAGGAGGCGTAGCTCAATCAAGTAGTCCTTGAAAGGTTCGCCCTCCCGTTGCCGGCGCGCCCGGATTTGGTCCTCCAAACGCTCGAGGTATTGGGGAGGTAAGAAGAAATCCAAGAACTCCTTCTTAAATTCCAACCAGGGCACATCTCTTAGCCCACTGGTCAGGAACCACTTGGCCGCCTTGTCTACCAACACCTCGCTTAGTGCCCTCGGCATCCTGTCCAACTCGATCCCATAAGTTATGGCTCGCTCTTCCAGGATCTCGATGAAACCGAGGGGATCCGATCGACCGTCATACTTCATTCCCCACTTCCTGACTTGCTCGGCGATATTCCACGGCGGGTGCCTCTCTGGTGGCGGTGAGAACACTGAGTCCGACGCTCAACACTCATCTCGCCTCCATTGCCAGATCCCTTCGACTTTTCGTCCCTCCGGCTCCCAGCCATGCTGCTCGCCGTCGGTACGCTAAGCCTCAGCGGCGCCGTCGAAGCGGAACCGCTCTCCTGGATCTTTCGTAGGTCGGGCTCTGACTTTTGGTATGCGCGGCTGCCCATGCTCGACATCGCGCCTCCCGAAGAGAAACGTGCTTCCCATTCAGTCAGTCGCCCTT